CTTCATCCTCTGTAGATTCCCACTATTAACATTTTGCATGCATGTACTACATTTTTTATGATTAATGATCTAGTATTGATGCATTAACTAAAGTCCATAGTTTACATTAGGGTTCATTCTTACTGTTGTACAGTCCTATGGGTTTTGAGAAAAACATGTCATGTGTCGATCATTATGGTTATCATGAAGAAAAGTTTCACTGCCCTAAAAATGCCTTATGAGGAGCTGTTTTTTGAAAAGTAATTCTCTGTTGCAGATGGCATGACTCCTAAGATTCCAAGTTAAGAATCTCAGCTCTATCAAGTATCCCTTCTTCCATGACATTGCTACTTATCTTTTTAACATATCTTATCACTCACTCTACTGCTTATTCTGTTCAATGGTCCCTTGTTGCCCATAACATACAATCAAATTCCTTAAAGTGACTTCCAAAACCATCAGAATTTGACCTTCACTTACTTCTTCCTTTCCAATATACTCCCTCTTTCCATTCTGGAGTCCCTGGGTAGCATAAATCATTAAGCACCTGGCTACTAGCAAAAAGGTTGAAAGTTTTTTTTTTTTTTTTTTTAATTATGCTTTAGGTGCATGTTTACAGAGCAGATTTGTTTCATACTCTATATTACATGTACATTTAGTTTCACTCCCCATTTATCATCCCCAACCCTAACCCAGTCTCCTCCCCTCCCTGCCCAGTAACCCGCCCTCCCCCTATGCCCCTCATAGTTATGCACTCGTGTATCCTGCATTTTCTCTGTGCGAATATTGCCCCTCTGGTGCCCTGTGGTTGACTTCTCCAAAGGATTCATCTCCATAGAGTATGTGGGCATCACCCTGGGTTGAGTGGTCTGCATGTACATCTTGTTTACTATTGGTCTGAGAGCCAGCCCCTGGGAGTGAGTTTTATTCCAGGCCCAGAATGTATCCCAGGGCCATAGTATTGGGGGTCTCACAAGACTCCATCTGACTAGTAATTCTGGTCATTATTGAGTTTTTGGATTTTGTTCCATGTTTTTCCTCCCACTTTATCCAGGATCTCCAGATTTGATCCTTTCCTGAGTGGCTGGTATTGGTAGCCAGAAACCATCTAGTTCTTCTAGTCTCGAGGGCCATCTTGTCCTAGGGCTGATTTCTTCCAAATGCCCCACCCCCCTTTTTTGCATTCTTCTTCGCTTCCAACAACAGGAGACAATTAGCTGCATCTTAGATGGCCACTTGAAAGCCTTTAAGACTCTAGGGGCTACTCACCAATGCAGGATGAGGAACAAGACTTTTATGTATTTTGTTGTGCCAAATGAGTTTGGTGTCCCCTAGTACTATGGATCTGAGTTGGTAGATCCGTTGGATCTCTCTCTCTTTCAAAAGGTTGAAAGTTTGAATCTACGCAGAGATGCCTCAGAAGAAAGGCCTGGTGATCGATCTACTTCTGAAAAATCAACACTGAAAACCCTATGGAGCACAGTTTTACTCTGACACACATGGGATTACATGAGTCAAAATCAACTCAGCAGTACTGGTTTTTGGTTTATTTTGGTCCCATATGAACTATGTGTATGTGCTTAGTTTCCCCAATTTTCCCAGCTGAACCCCATTCTACATATGCTGCTGCTCCTGACATATTCTTTCCCTCTTTCTTATCCTGGTTCACATTATCCTTTCCTGACATGCAGGTCAGGACTGGGTGCTCTTCCACTGTTCTACCACAGCACATTTCACCACCCTTCCTACCAGGCACCCTACAGGACTATGGCTGCCTATTTATGCACACTCTCAGCTTTGAATGGCAGGATGCACGTAGTCTTGCTCACTATTGGAGGATAGTGCCCAACCCAGGCCCTGAACACAATGTAAATAGTGGTTGCATTGATAAAACTTAGCAAATCAGTTACATTGTCAAGATCCAGCTCAGAGTTTCCCTATTCAAAATAGGCCATTTCTAGAGGGTTTTTTTTTTTTTTTTTTTTTAGTAGGTGTGTTTGAGTTCTACACTTAAAAAAAAAATTATTAAAAATTACCAAAATAGTGTGATGGGAGTGGGCTATGATGGAGGGGTATTTGTGATGGGAGGTATGTGTGTGTGATGGGAGGGGTGTGTGTGACAGCAGGTTGTGTGTGACAGGAGGGGTGTGTGTTGGGAGGGGTGTTCTGGTGATGGCAGGGGGCTGTGGCAGGATGGGTGCTTGTGATAGGAGGGGTGTGTGTAATGGGAGAGGTGTGTATGGGTAGGGGTGTGTGATGGAGGGAGTGTGTGGTGGGAGGGTGTGTGTGATGGGGGGGGTGTTATGGGAGGGGGTGTGTGACGGGTGGTTTGTGTGTGACGGGAGGGCACTGTGTGTGATGGCAGGGATGTGTGTGATAGGAGGGGTTGTGTGGTGGGAGAGGTGTGTGATGGGAGGGGGTGTGTGATGAGAAGAGTGAGTGGGAAGGGATGTGTGTGTGATAAGGGGTGTGTGGGGGGATGGGTGTGTGTGACGGGAGGGTGAGTATGTGATGGGACAGGGTGTGAAGTGGGAGGGGTGTGAAGTGGG